ACAAAGAAAGCATGGTGCGTATACATCATGGAATACTACCCAGCCGTACAAAAGAATGAAATCATGCCCTTTGTAGCAACATGGTTACAGTTGTAGGCCATTATCCTAACCAAATTAATACAGGAACAGAAAAACACATACCTCATGTTCTCACTTATAAGTGGCAGCTAAACACTGGGTACTCATGGACCTAAAGATGACAACAATAGCCACTACAGACTATTAGAGAAGAGATGAAGGGAGTGGGGACAAGGGTTGAAAAACTAACTGTTGAGTACTATGCTCACTACCTATGTGACAGGACCATTTGTATTCCAAACCTCAGCATCATGCAATGTATCCAAGTATCAGATCTGCACATGTACCCACCTGAATCTAAAATAAAAATTGAAATTATTTAAAAGTGGGCAAATTATTTGAACAGACATTTCTCAAAAGAAGACATACAAATGGAAAACAGGTATATAAAAAATATTCATCATCACTAATCATCAGAAAAATTTGCAAATCAAAATCTCAATGATAGTAGCCAGTTAAAATGGCAACTATGAAGTTAGAAACAATGAATAATATCTGGTATTTGATAGCACAACAGGGTGACTACAGTCAATAATAATTTAATTGTACATTAAAAATAACTAAAAGAGTATAATTGGATTGTTTATATACAAAAGATAAATGTTTGAGATTATGACTAACTCATTTACCCTAATGTGATTATTACACATTGTATTACTGTATTGAAATATTCTATTAATATATATCCCATACATATAAACACTATGTACACACAAAAATTTAAAAATAGACAAAAAATTACAAATGCTGGTGAGGATAAGAAGAAAAGATAACTCTTACACACTATGACAATGTCAATTAGTACAACCATTAGACAAAACAGTATGGAGATGCTGCAAATAAACTAAAATAGAAATACCATATGATCTATAATAGATATATATCCTAGATATATATCCAGATATATATCCAAAGGAAATATTCCTAGATATATATCCAAAGGAAAGAAATTGATGTGTCAAGGATATATCTGCACTTCCACGTTTATTGAATCACTCTTCATAATAAGAAAAGGAATCAACATGTTCATGAATGGAGGAATGGGTAATGAATATGTGGTATACATACATGATGAATATATATATGTGTTTATGAATTAATAAATACATATTTATGAATATATGAATATGTAGGTATTTATGTTCAGCCATGAAAAAGGAATAATATATTGCTATTTGCAGCAACATGGATGAGCCTGGAGGACATTATGTTAAATGAAATAAGCAAGGCACAGAAAGACACATATTGCAGGTTCTCACTCACACATGAGAGCTTAAAAGGTTGATCTCATGGAAGTAGAGAGTAGAATAGAGGTTACCAGAAGCTGGGAAGTGTAGGCGGTAGAGGGTAGGGAGAAAATATGCACAGCTTTGCTAAGGGGTACAAAATTATAGTCAGATAGGAGGAATGAGTTCTGATATTCTATATTATAGTTGAGTGACTGCAGCTAAAAATTAATATATTCTACTTTTCAAAATAATTAAGAGGAAATATTTTGAATGTTCTCAACACAAATAAATAATAAGTGTCTGAGATGACAGACATGCCAATTACCCTGATTTGATCATTATACATTGTTTACATGTATTGAAAATATCACATGTGCCCCATAAATATATACAATTATTATATTTCAATTTAAGTAAATAAATAAATAGAAATGTACATAGATAATATAAGCTATTTGGCAAAGTTATTTCCCATGAATGTAAGGGTTCACCATGCCAGTATTGATATACATACATACTTGAACAATGAAGTATATGGATAGTAGAGGGTAGAAACCTGGTTTCTCATTTTGGGAGAGGGAGACTACAGGTAAGCAAAAGGAACAGTCCAGAATGACATCTGTAGCAATAGATTAGAGGTGGAAACAGCAGTTTAAACTCATGTTTATGTTAATATAGATACAAGTGGCTAAATAGAAAAGTATGTATATATATTTACAAACACACGTATTGTCATACATAACAGAGATATTTTTTGTTCTGTCAACTCAGAAGGTCTAGAAGTAACAATAATCCAGTAACAATGAACATGCCCAGCATCAATACTTTGGCTTCTAATACTGTTATCCAATAAAAGGAATGAAGTCTCATTGGAAAAATGACTGATTTTAAGATGAGGGCAGGAAATCAACAATATGAACCTGAAGCATCTTCTAGTGCTATAATATAAGGAATTTATCAAAAACAACAAAAATAAAATGAAGAGTATGTTCAAAGGACATAGGAACCAACTGAAAGAGCTCCCAGTGGACAAAACTGGAATAATTTGAACAAAATGCATTATGTTCATTAATATATAATTATATAATATTATATTATAACCCAAAGTATAAAATAAATAGTCATGATTTCATGCTAATGTAAACAAATAATTCAATTATTACATGAGGGAGAAGAAACAAATTTCTATGTAAAAGAGTTCCAGTCCAGGCACAGTGGCTCATGCATGTAATCCCAGCACTTTGGGAGGCCGAGGTAGGCAGATCAGCTGAGGTCAGGAATTTGAGACCAGCCTAACCAACATAGTGAAACCCTGTCTCTACTAAAAATACAAAAATTAGCTGGCTGTGGTGGCAGTCACCTGTAATCCCAGCAGCTCGGGAGGCTGAGGCAGGAGAATGGGAAGCGGAAGTTGCAGTGAGCTGAGCTGAGATCACGCCATTGCACTCCAGCCTGGGAGACAGAGTTAGACTTGGACTCAAAAAAAAAAAAAAAAAAGCTCCAAATAATTTATGTAAATATTCTGCCCCCCAAAAGGACGAGCATAACTCTCCTCTCCTCAAGGGTGAGATGCACATAGAGGCTTTCAAAGAGTACAGTAGGGAAAGGAAGGAAAGAAAGTAACGTTGCAGTGAAGAAACATCACAAGGACTCTTTCACTGGGTGTTCAAGGTTAACTTCAACAGTGGTGAGTCATGTAAATACTCTTGATAGAATGTGATAAAAACGACACTTTACCTCTGTGGTCTTCCTCATAAGAAAATATAACCTTAGACTAAAAAATCAGATAAACAAATCGCAACTGAGGAATATTTTGCAATGTATCTGAACAGAACTCCTCCAAACTGCCAAGGTCACCACAAAAAGGAAAGTCTGAGAAACTGTCACAACCAAGAGGAGCCCAAGGACACATGACAACTAAACGGAATGTGGTATCCCGGATGGCATTCTGGAACATCAAAAGCATATTCAGTAAAAGCTAAGGAAATCTGAATAAAGTATAGACATTAGTTCACAATAATGTATCAATGTGTCTTTATTAATTGTAGTAAATGCACCTTACCAATGTAAAAGAGTAATCATGGGACAAACTGAGTGTAGAGTATATGGAATGCATCGGTACAATCTTCGCAGGTTTCCTGCAAATACAAAATTGTTCTAAAATTTTACAATTATTTTTGGAAATACCGGGAGGGCTGACTGAGATAGGGAGCTGCCTCACACAGCTTGCCTTTTTTCAATGTTCCTTTTTTTTGGTTTTGGTAGTGGGTTTCTTTGTTTGCTTGTATGTTGGTTTGGGCCAGCTGTGGTTCAAAGTGGTAATTACTATTATTCATTTTTATTTTTATTTTTTTGAGATGGAGTCTCATTCTGTTCCCCAGGCTGAAGTGCAATGGCCCAATCTCAGCTCACTGTAACCGCCGCCTCCTGGCTTCAAGTGATTCTCCTGCCTCAGCTTCCTGAGTAGCTGGGACTACAGGTGTGTACCACCAAGCCTGGCTAATTTTCGTATTTTTCAGTAGAGACGGGTTTCTCCATGTCAGCCAGGCTGGTCTCGAACTCCTGACTTCAGCTTATCCACCTGCCTGCACCTCCCAAAGTGCCGGGATTACAGGCATCAGCCACTGCGCCTGGCCAAAGTGGTAAATGCTATTTATAAGATCAGGTTCTGCACCTCAAAATGTATTATATCTTTTCCACTCTTCTCAATTTTTGAATCTGTCCTTAAACAGAGGTTTGATTCAAAGTTCAAGAGTGGGAAAGCACATCTTTTGACAGTGTACAAACTGAAAATGCATTGTACATTCATGTAGCAAGAGTCTAGATCATACACAAGTACAGTAAACACCCCTGAGCATTATTGTTTAGAATCACAGTATGTCTGATATTTGTAGAGTAAAAATACACATACATGCCATATGACAGGGAAAATTCATCTTAGCTACTGAAAGAATTGTGCAGCCCCATGAGTGCACGTAGAATTAGACCTTATTCACATATTTCATACTGGAAAGAGATCTGGCACCTTGACTATACTCCTAAGTGACCAGGTCACTAAGAAAAAGCAGGGGTTGTAGTTTTGTTGATGTGAGGACGAGGAGAATAGATAGTCATGAGAAATTCATGTCTAGTCAGGATAAAACTTACATTTGCTTCCCAGAGAGTTCTTTCTAAGAAAATGAGTAGGGTGAATTCGTACACCTGCTCAGTCCTGACAATAGTAAGCAATTCTGAATCTCCACTCTTTGCCCAAATCTCTGTGAAACCAGAATAGTCTGTTTAGAATAAAAAGAGAGCTTCTCAATCCTGCTTGTATATTACAATCCTTTCTGGAGCTTTTATAATTTTCATCCTGGCCCCCATGCATGGCCAGTAAACCAGAATCTCTAGGCAGGGCAAGGCATATGCATCAAGAGACATTAAACCCCCCAGGTGATTCTAATGTACAGGCTGAACTGAAAGCCACTGCAGCCAAGTTTAAATCCCTGTGAACCTTACCCTTCTGGGAGCGAAGCTGCTTATGTGGGAAATAAATATAGGATTTTGCCTGATCCTAATTTTAAGCTTTTGCCATTCTTATTTTTTTCAGAAAAAGTAAAATAATAAAATGGAAAAGAAGCCCCTTCCCCCACTCCACCACACACACACACACATTTAAGAATAAGAGAAAATGCCCTTGGGACATCCTCATACCTTTAGAAGTAACCTTCACAATGCTTATATTTAAAATTCCTCCACCACTATCCCCCTTCTTTTTCTTTCTTCATTTCTTGACATAATTGGGCAGAGTAGGCAGAGGCATATTTCTGACTGGTTTCTGAAGAGTGAAAAATTATTCAGGGCTTGAGTCATGGATCCAAGAAGAGAAGCTGAGAAAGAAAAGGGGACAGAATACTTACCTTTATAAATCAAAAATTAGAGCACATCCCTCAGGTGCTCTTGCACTCAATAACCCCAACGCCACTGACATCACTGTGCTGCTAAATGTGAAAATTATGAAGATAATAAAAAAGCCTCAGATACAGGATGCCAGGAATCACCAAGCCAGTGCTGAGGTTATTGGATCTAAGTAGAAATGAAACCCAAAGCTTTCCAGACAATTGACATTAAAGCAGAAGAGATTTATTAAACATTTTAATAGGTTTAATTAGGATGAGCATTTTAAAATATTTTTATAAACCTTACATGTGTGACAATTTGGTTCTACACATTTTACTGCACTGTTTTAATTCACAGATGACTTGTTTCTGTGATCTTTTCTTGGATAAATATCATTGAATAGGCAGTGAACAGTCACAAAATTATGAACCTGTCTTCTCAAAAGCTGCATATAGATCAGAACAGAGCCTATAAATATGTACACCTTAATATACAACTATCTTTGTAAGGCAAATAGAATTAGATTAGCACAATCCATATCTGATATCATAATAGCTAAGTAATTTCCAAAATTCACTAAACTGGGTATGATGTGGTAATCAGAGTATTTTATCAAATCTTCTAGTACTATGGATTGCCTCTGTAACGGCAGCCTGAAAGAATGTTTGGCCAAGAAAACAACTGCTAATTATCTGTAAACTCACAATGATTTTTAAAATGTCTAAGTAAGTGGTTCTCAGGAGGACAATCGCCCTTCTGAATCCAGATGCTTCAAAAACTATAATAAACTTAAAGTAGTCAGATGAATCCTGAGAAATACAGTAAGGAGTAAGCAAAATTTAGTAACCTAAATTTAGGTTAATAGCAGTTAAGGATACATTTCACTGGCAAGGTCTTCCCTTCTCTCTAGTAAGTACGGATTATATTTAGTCAGTTATAAAAAACCTGGAAGAGTAAAACACCTTTTCTCTCTCCTTGGTAGATTAGATTGTGATTTTTCTGCCCAGAAATATAGCAAACCTGTTGACTAGCAACAGCACAGTGTCTAGCTCTCAATAAATACTTGGTGAATAAATAAATGACTACAAATGAATATATTTCTCAAATAATCTTAATCTAATTTCAACAGTTTAACAATAACAGTTATAAAATATTTACTACATGCCAAGCACTGTATTAGGTTCTGGAGACACAAAATGGAATACAAGTTGTATCAACATATTTGAGAAAAGAACCTGTTTCTCATAAGTATTCATAAAATTTCACAATGACTAATAGCTGATGAATAAATATTTTCTAACCCTAATTTCACAGGAAGCTCAATTTATTTCTACCTGACTCTAAAAAGTATAATTGACACAATAATTTCTTATAACAAATCTAATATCAATGTCAGGATAATATCCTGATTACAGGTAAGCCTCTGATTTCAAATCCTGAATCCTGTGCTAGCTGTGTAGTTTTGATCAAATTTCTTAGTATTTCCAAACCTCAATTTTCTAATCTATAAAGTGGGTAAATAATTATAGCATATGTCTCAAAGGATATTGTGACAATACAATGGGGGTAACCTACATCTAGAATAGATTAAACACTTAATAAAAGCTACTACTATTAATTATATTCCATGGTAGTGCCATGTTTTCACAACATCAATATTTAAGGCTAGTGATTTTTTGGTAGGTAGACAAAACAAGTTTCAGGCTGTGTTTTAACAGCAATTTATATAAGATTGAGAAAATGTTGTTTATATCAAAGAATGTTATGAATATTCTTTGGGGTGGTTACATTATATCAAAGAGAGAAAACGGATGCACCATATGAGGTACCTAAAGCTCCACCAGGCCCTTGGCTGTCACTATTATTACTTATTACTTTATGTTATTGCTTCATGAAGAGTAAGGAAAATACCTCATATGAAAATTGGGTAATTGCTCAATTTTCCAATTTTTAGTATTGTCAAAAGAAAACTGATGATGAATATAAAAATGACTCCTCTGAAACTGTTGACTAATTTAAATGATAATTATAAGGCAAATGAGTAGCCTCATTAGGACGTCTCACTACAAGCACTCCTTCATTTATTCAGGCATTTATTCAGGCATTTGTTCATTTATACATAAATGAGTAGCAATGTCTATGAGAAGCATTAATTGTGAAGCCTGCTTTTTAAAAAATCTCGAGGCCGGGCGCGGTGGCTCAAGCCTGTAATCCCAGCACTTTGGGAGGCCGAGACGGGCGGATCACGAGGTCAGGAGATCGAGACCATCCTGGCTGACACCGTGAAACCCCGTTTCTACTTTAAAAATACAAAAAACTAGCCGGGCGAGGTGGCGGGCGCCTGTAGTCCCAGCTACTCCGGAGGTTGAGGCAGGAGAATGGCGTGAACCCGGGAGGCGGAGCTTGCAGTGAGCTGAGATCCGGCCACTGCACTCCAGCCTGGGCAGCAGAGCGAGACTCCGTCTCAAACAAAAAAAAAAAAAAAAAAAAAAAAAAAATCTCATACTAGGCCAGGCACGGTGGCTCAAGCCTGTAATCCCAGCACTTAGGGAAGCCCAGGCGGGCGGATCACTAGGTCAGGAGATCAAGACCCCATCCTGGCTAACATGGTGAAACCCCGTCTCTACTAAAAACACAAAAAATTAGCCGGGCGAGGTGGCGGCGCCTGTGGTCCCAGCTACTCGGGAGGCTGAGGCAGGAGAATGGCGGGAACCCGGGAGGCGGAGCTTGCAGTGAGCTGAGATCTGGCCACTGCACTCCAGCCTGGGCGACAGCGCGAGACTCCGTCTCAAAAAAGAAAAAAAAAGTCATACTAATGCTATTATACTGACCAAATTAAACCTAATTTATACAAAACAAAGTTATTTTTAAACTTCCTGCTATGACAGGAAAAAAGAAAACAGGTTGCTGAATGGGTTGTTTTCTGAAAAATAGAAAAAGACAATGAGAAGTCAGTGTCAGTCAGTGGGTGATTTCATCAATTACTCTGAGTGGTTGTGTTCAGTGGGAAGCAATAGCAGGGTGGAATGTTAAATTAAACTTAAGATGATTTTCTTGAACATTTTTAGAACATTCTCTGTAATTAAATATACATGGTGGAGAGGATGGAAAGGTAAAAACTTTGTCAGAAACTACAAGTTGCAATTTAAAGTTACTGCACCCTCAAATGTGATCAGTGTAAGTGTTGTGTAGCATAAAAACGTCCCTTGTGCAGTTGTATCACTGCAACAATACACTCCCAGGCACTCTTTCATTGTTGAACTGTCATTCTTCCACAGTGTCCCATATGTATGTACATATGAAATTTATATGTGTATATATATTATTTATATTGTGTTATACTTGTATGCATGTATTTAAATTTAAGCCTGCCAACAATGCCTTGCCATTAGTCGCTAAGCCCCATCACTCAGGCAATGAATTATTTAGAATTGCCAGCTTTGCCACCATCAGTGACAACTAGCACACCTTGAGTTTCGCAACCACTGTAAATTCACTGTACGCTTCCGGGTACACATTTACACTGTGGAGTCCCTATTCTGAAATGACAAGATCTGAGCACAATCAGAGCAGCATTTCTAAACCTCTGCCTTTTCCTGTGACTATTGTGTGTGCGTCTTGTTAGTGCTATGCTTGAATCCACACCATTAGAGCAGTGACACAGCTGCTGTCATTCTCAGTTATCTAGGACTCCTGCTAAGACAGATCAACGCTGAGAAAATGCCTCTGCCCCCCATTTTATCACCCGGAGACAAAAACTTTTAAAAAATCATACAACCAATTATTTGGTCGCATAGAAAAGGGTCATGTCTCATAGGATAGGGCCAATTGCCCTTCCGGACTCAGAAAAAGAGCTGAACTAAGGAAGCTAGGACAGGTCAGGACTGATCAAAACTAACATTCATACAAGAAACACCAATTAGGATAGCTGCTGGAAGGGAATGCAAGATACCAGAGAAGCGGGTATTTTCGATTTTTTTTTTCTTTTTAAGCTTAAAAGGAAATTACAAGTAACATTCCAGTGTAGTCCACAATTTAATATGATTTTAATTTTAATTTTAAGCATATTTCCCCCTACATCATGCAGGTCTCATTATAGATTATGCCTAGTATATGTGAAATTAATTAAAGTATGGTAATAATTTCTTTAAATTTAGCAAAAAAATTAAAAAGTCTTTCATGAATTTAAAATAAATTTTTGCTTATGAAAGTTTTTAACTAATTTGGAGGCCAGTTACTTTTGTTAGATGGCTTTTGAGATTAGATAAAGTTAATTTGAATGTTTAAATGTGGGCAAGGCAGGACTTGACAATAGGTGAAGGCACTCAAACACCAGTTCTCCAACGGAGCTGCGCTTAGGAATCATTGGGAAGCTTTTACAAAACGGACCTGGGGTCTCCCTCAGAGATTCTGACTTAGTTGGCATGGGAGATAGCCTGGGCTTATGAACTTTCTAAAGCTTATCAGATAATTTCATTATGTAATAAAATTTGAGAACTCCTGCTCAAATGGCTCAATTTTTTATATACATATACATATATATATATATATATATTTTTTTTTTTTTTTTTTGAGACTGAGTCTGGCTCTGTCGCCCAGGCTGGAGTGCAGTGGCCGGATCTCAGCTCACTGCAAGCTCCGCCTCCCGGGTTTACGCCATTCTCCTGCCTCAGCCTCCGGAGTAGCTGGGACCACAGGCGCCCGCCACCTCGCCCGGCTAGTTTTTTGTATTTTTTAGTAGAGACAGGGTTTCCCCGTGTTAGCCAGGATGGTCTCAATCTCCTGACCTTGTGATCCGCCCGTCTCAGCCTCCCAAAGTGCTGGGATTACAGGCTTGAGCCACCGTGCCCGGCTAATTCTTTATATTTTTAAATAAATATTCAAGCAGCACAAAATAAGACCATTAGATTGTATTGGTCCATTCTCATCCTGCTAATAAAGACATACTCGAGACTGGGTAATTTATAAGAGAAAGAAGTTTAATTGACTCACAGTTCA